TAGAGGAAATGTCCATTGAAATGACAGTGAGATATAATTTTTTCTTATTGAATTTGACAAGGGACAAAACGTTTGACCATTATGTATTGGTGAGCAACCTAAGCATTAGTGGTAGGAGTATAGAAAGAATCACTCTTTGGGGATACTTAATAATATTGGTCAAAAGTTCAGATGTATGTGCCTTTGACCCACGAGAGTCACCCTGATGATTTTCCTAATTCATACACATCGTGTGTGAGAGGCTGAGATACTGGGATGTGCAGTGCCACATTGTGGGTGGTGGCGAGCAGGCACTGGGACATCAGAAGCAGCGGGGATGAGAGCCCCACGAGGCACGGGGTGTAGACAGTCCATGTGACATGGCGTGCACAGCGCTGCTACGAGAAAGGCAAGGAGAGGTGGGTGCACAGAGCGTGCTGTGTCTGTGGAGACGCACACTGTGCCTGTGAGTGTGTGGACCGTCTCCGGTGGCTGCCAGGACCCGGATGATGGTGCTGCCTTGGGAGAGGGAACCGGACAGTGGGAGCCAGAGATAGGAGAGACTTCATTTTCAATCTCCTTTGTTGTCTCCTCCATCATAAACCGTGTGAATGTATAATCTGATTAAAATTAAAAAATTAAAAGCCACTTGGTATTACTGAAATGCAATCTCCTGTCCTGAGGACGATTAGACATTTGGTATCGGACGCAGCTGCTGAAATGTAGAGACTGGGAGCAATGATCATGGGGGATGGGCGACTTCTTTTCCCAGGCCCGGAAACAGCAGGAGAAATCCAGGTACAGTAAGTGTGGCAATTCCATAGCAGGTGGGCCCTATTAATAGTAATGATCATAATATCTAAAGGTATATTGTTGAGGGCTTTTAAAAATATATTAAAAAAATATATAAATATAAAAAAATATATATATATATGGCTCTCGTAGGAGCCCTAACAGCACTGGCGGTTATTATCCCCAGTGTCCATATGTGAGAACTCAAGGGCTAGAGATTTTAGGACCCTGGTAGAGATCACTCAGCCAGTAAAGGGTGGATGTGGAACTTGATCCCAGGCCTGTCTCAGTCCCGAGCTGACACCTCATGTGATGTGCTTGCCAAGGGCTCTGCCCTGGTTCCTCAGGAATCATTCATAGTGTCAACATGTAGTTCCTCGCTGCCACCCTTCCTGAGCTTTTGTATTCCTTTCCCAGGACTGTCCTAACAGACATCAATCACAGTGGCTAGAAGAGTGGAAATTGACTGTCACACACTTCTGGAGGCTGAAAGCCTCAAATCAAGGTGTTTGTCAGGGCCAAGCTCCCTTTGAATCCTATAGGGGTGTGTTAGTCAACTTTGAAACCTACATGGCTGTAGCAGTCAGCTCAGTCTACACTAACAAACAAGAGAAATTTGTTTTCTCACAGTTCTGGGGGCTATTGGATCAAGGTTCCAGCCAATTCAATTGCTGGTGGGGCTCTCTGCCTGGTTAGCGGAAGCCTGCCTCCTATCCGTGTCCTCACGTGACCTTTCCTCAGTGCGTGTGCATGGGGAGGGCGGGCTCGCTTGCTCTTTGGTGACTCTTCTTATAAGGACACTAATGCTATTGGATTGGCCCCACCCTTGTGACCTCACGTACCCTCCCTTCATTAGAGGCCGCATCTCCAAGTAAAGCCACGCTGGGTGTTAAAACTGCAACATGTGAATTCGGGGGCAACACAGATATTCAGTCCATAACAGGGGAATCCTTCCTCCCCCTTCCCAGCTTCTGGTGTTTGCTGGCAGTCTGTGCCATTCCCTGTCTTGCAGCTGCGTCGGTCCATCCTCAACTGCCCGTGCCTCCTCCCTGTGTCCCTTGCCATCGGCTTCCCTCCGTGCATGTCGGCGTCTGCGAATAAGTTTCCCCCTTTCATAAGGACGCCTGTCACATTGGAGGTGGCCGCAGCCTGATGACCTCGCCTTAACTTGACTCTATCTACAAAGACTCTATTTCCAAAGAATGTCACCTTCTGAGGTTCTGGGTTTAGGACTTCAACGTATCTTTTCTGAGGAACACAATTCAATCCATAACAGCCCCCCTTCCTGCAAGAATGTGCCCCCTGACTGGGGAACCCTAGATTTTGGTAAATATGTTTGTAACCTCACCTCACATGCATCATTGGGAGCAGGGATGGAGACTAAATTTGTGTTGGTGTTTTTTCTTCTTTATGAATAAATATTGCTAGATGAATCTTTAAATAAATGAACAAAAAATCATCTTGAAAAAAGTCATAAAAAAATGTCCTCTAGTTATTATGAAAATACAGAGTGAGTGAGTCTCATTTTGGGGGAAGGAAGGAGAAATTAGACCTTTAGTGTTTTTAAGACTGCAAAGTGCCTTTCTGTAGTGAATATAGGTGTGTGGAGTGGTGGTGGTATAGGTGTTAGGGTGCAGTAAGGGAGCTCATTGTGCTGAGGATGGGCAGTCCGAATTTCTTTTTTATTTTATTTTTTTTGAGACAGAGTCTCACTTTGTTGCCCAGGCTAGAGTTGAATGCCGTGGCGTCAGCCTAGCTCACAGCAACCTCAAACTCCTGGGCTCAAACAATCCTACTGCCTCGGCCTCCCGAGTAGCTGGGACTACAGGCATGCGCCACCATGCCCAGCTAATTTTTTCTATATATATTAGGTGGCCAATTAATTTCTTTCTATTTATAGTAGAGACAGGGTCTCGCTGTTGCTCAGCCTGGTTTTGAGCTCCTGACCTGGAGCAATCCGCTCACCTCCGCCTCCCAGAGTGTTAGGATTACAGGCGTGAGCCATGACGTCTGGCCGGCAGCCCGAATTTCTGGTTCTGAGATAGCTGCCCTGGGAAGAGGCCACGTGCATGAGCTGAAAGGGGGTCTCTGCTGCAGTCCCTGCGGCTTCGGCCTCTTCTGGCCTGAGACCACACCAGGCTGGAACCCCTTCTCCCTGCAGCCTCTACTCAGTGGGTGTCACCTGTCCCCATCCCCCAGCCAGCATATCATGCTAGAATGGGTTAGACTGGACTGCTGCCCACTGAGACACTGGGAATCCTGAAACATGATCCCGTGGGAGCACTAAAGCAGGAGCTGCAGCTGGGAGAGGGAGAGCTTCTGTCCCTGTGGCTACTGACTATTGGGCTTTGTGACCTGGCATGTTTAGAGGTGCCTGGCAGTGCAGCCTCATCTAGCTCCCCTCAGTGACGTTCTGTGGGCCGGGAGTCCATGTGCCCTGCGGACAGCGTGGTGCCTGTGGCAGATCTCCTGGACACGGTGTCAGGGGTAGGGCATGTGGGAGGAGGGGCTAGGAGGGGCTGGAGGAGACAGAAGTGGCTGGGGACTGAATACCTGCTGCTTCTCCTGGATGGCCCCGGGCAGGACTGGGTGGAGCCCTGGCCCCCCGACTCACTGATGTGGGTCCTGAAGGCCTGTGGCCTCAGCACTGGGGGTGCCAAGGTTGGGGTCCCATGAGGGAGCTGAGGGGAGGGGTGAAGGCCTGGCTGGGAGGAGGGGCCTGGTGGCCTGAGTCAGTGAATAAGTAGAAGCAATGAGATATCTGGAATACTTCCACATCTGAGCAGTGGCATGAGCCAGTCTCTATTTCCGGTGAGAGCCAGGCGTGGGGCCTGATATGAGGCAGAATTGGGTGATGTGGAGAGAGAACAGGGCGCCTTGCCAGGCGGCGGCAACCCGGGTGGATCCTGAGCTGCTGAGAGGAGGAGACTGTTCTTCCTTCAAGGACAAGTTATCTCCACGGCATGTTGGTCTGTCCATATCAGTTCTGCCTTGGTCCCCAGGCAGGACAGAGGGTCCCCAGGTTCCCTGGAGCTGTGTCTCATGGGCGCACAAGGGTCAGGAGGGGGCGGCACTGGGCAGTTGAGCCCACTGGTCTGGACTCTGCAGAGACAGCGCCTGGGAAGGCTGACCAGGGGCCTCCTGGGGACTGGTTAGGGACGTGGTCTCTTGGTGACAGGGACACAGTATTCACAACACTGCCCACCTGCTCCCCCACATTCTTAATCGCTGGCGGTTAGCAGGCTCTCTGTGACCAGTTCTGTCCAGAAACGATGCAGTGAAAACCCCACGTGGCCCCTTCCCTGTTGTGGGGGCAGAGCAGGGGGTCAGGATGCTGCGGTTCCACGTGGTGCCCCAACTAGGTGGTGGAGGCCACAACTCTGTGGGATGCAACCCCTGTCACTATTTCTTAAGGGACATGTAGGGTGACTAATATACAATCTCCCTTTGTTCTGAGGCCCTGCATTGTGTGCTTGCTGTTACCAACGACTGCCTAGCCTACCCTGACTGCGACACTTCCTAGCAGGAAGACGAAGGCAATCACCCATCACTACTGCTTTAGTTACCTACTGCGTGACCTGCGACCCCAGGACTTAGTGCCCCAAATCAGCACCATGCTCTGTGTCACACTTCTGGTGGTGTGGCTCAGGGTCTTACAGAAGGAAGTCAAAGTATGGTCCCAGGTGGCCCCCAGGCCCCTGCCCCAAGGGCTTCTCCATAGAGCAGCTCACAGCATGGCAGTGAGCTTCCCTAGAGTGAGCAAGGCAGAAGTCACAGTCTTGCATAACTTGGTACACCTAAGCAACACCCCTCAATTTGCTGTATTCTGTTTCTTTATGCAGGTCACTAGGTGCACCCACACTCCAGGGGAGGGATTACACATTGATGTGCACAGGAGGGAGAGACCTTTGGGAGACACGTTAGAAGCTGCCTCCTACATTTATGCACGTAGCATGTGCGGGAAAATGTACTAGGTTCTTTTGATCTATGATCTCATTTAATTCATACTATCATTGTGGGACAGTAAGGAAACTGACAGGCAGTTTAGCCTGTTCAAGGTAATACTCCACTAGACCAGACTTGATCCCAGAATTACTTCCAATCCATTGTACTTGGCTGCCTTTCTAGAAAGAAGAATTTTAGATGTATTTAATTAGGAAGAAAAGTTCCGTGGTTCTCTTATTTGTTCTTGATGGGAAAACACTCCCGTTTCCATTTCCGATGTCCAGGTGTCTGCCGTGCTGTGGCTGAGAGTCCTGGGGCACACGGCTCTGCCGTTAAGGACTCCAGAGCCCACATTCCTCTGAAGGGGATCCGAGGAGGTTCTGTCTTGTTTGGTGTGACCCAGAAGACAGGAGCAGTTCTGGAAACTGAGCTGGAGGAGCTCTGCTGGAGCTTTACCCCGGAGTCAGACTACAGAGTCCTGTTTCGAATCCAGAGAGGCGTCCATTCTCCAACCTGGTTCAGCTTCCAGGACAAATTCAAGCAGAGGGTCCAGGTGCCCAACTTGGCCTCCCTGAGGATTTCCAACCTGTGCCTTGAGGACAGTGGGCATTACCGAGCTCAAGCCAGGTTAACGGAAGGAAGAGAAGTTTTGCAGTTTTTCCACCTTACTGTCTATGGTGAGTGACACCCCTCCCTCCAGCCCATGGCTGACCTCCTCCCTTGTCACATTGGCCCCATGTTGCAGGATTCCATTCAGACACAGCCTTCAGACTCTACCGCCTTCCCTACAGTAGGGCAAGTGTGGACACCAGAGATGGAGACCAGAGCTGAGATCGATACCAGGGAGAAAATCACCTTAGTGTTTTGGTTAAGGAAATGGAAATTGGGTGAAATAGCAATTGTTCCAATAACACTAATAATCGTTTTTAGGACTAATGTTAATTAATTTGTGTAAAAGTTTCCCATTGTTTTTGGAACAAATTAGGATGAATTAGAAGCTTAAACAACAAAAATGTACTATGTCAGCATCTGTAGGTGTGAAGTCTGGCACAGGTTGCACTGGGCTAAATCAGGTGTTGGCAGGCTGTGTCCTCTCTGGAGGCTCCAGGGGAGAATCCATGTTCTTGCCTTTGTCACTGGCTAGTGGCTGTTCACCTCCCTTGGCTGTGGCCACCTTCCTCCATCTTCAAAGCCATTAATGGTGGGTGGAGTCCTTTTGACCCCTCTGACCTCCTCTCCCTCCTTCTGTCACTTCTAAGGGTCCTTGTGATTACATTGGGCTCATCCAGATAATCCAGAATAATCTCCCCATTTCATGTTAGCCGATTACCAACCCTGCCACCTAAAGTAACCTATTACCAGTTTGCTAGGACTACAATGTGGAAATCTTTGGGGCCACTACTCTGTCTCCCACAATTGGAAGTCCACGCATATCGAGTCCTCCCTGTCCCCTCTCCTCTCAGCCCCAGCGCCACACTCACTCAACAATCTGCACACCCAGCTCTCAAAGCCTTGACAGGATTAGGAGAATATTCACACAACACTGTTCAGGACAGCTGTTTACCCAAGTCTTTCTTTCACTAAAGTTCCTCTCTGCATAGGGAAGTATCCTGCTATGGAGAGAGCGAGTTTGCAGCGTTAGGTCCCATGTGCTTTCTAAGAGTGACTTACACCCTGACTCTTCTATTCCTGTCCATACCTCATGTTCGGTGGCGCGTTCTAAACACACTCGGAGATGTCATTCCTTGTCGCTGCCACTGCATCTCCCAGAAATGTGTCTACTTTTGGGAGCATGGGGCTGTCTCTGGCCTCCCAGAGCTGGCCTGAAGTCCTGCCCCACAGGGCCGTGTAGTCCCAGGCATCGTCTCAGCTGGAGATGCAGGGGAAGGACCCTGGGCCAGGACAGGCCTTTCTGCCCCAGACTTCCTGGCCTTCCAGGAAAGACCCCAATTTATTCAAAACAATGGGCCTTGAGTAGGTGGAGTCCAGCCTTTGTTTCCTTTGGGAGATTTTCAGACTTGTTCAATCTATTGAAACCTCACAGAGCTGACTCAGGGGTTCCTTTTCTTATTGTCATCCGCTCAGTGCTTAGCTTTAGGCAAACTATGTTTTATCTGTAAAACACAGCCATTTTCCTACGAGGTGAGCAGGCTATACATCTACAGGGTACCGCACCTACATGGCTTCTGTGAGTAAATGATTACAATGTACGGTGTGTAATGTTGTCTACAAATGAGGCTCTTTTCTTTTGTCCCCTCCTGCCCCAGATCCCGTGCCCCATCCTCACATCCTGGCTCAGTCACCATCCATCGCAGCAGGCTGGTGCAACGTCACCCTGGAGTGCAGGGCCCCAGGGGCCACAAGGGACCTGAACGTGACCTGGGAGAGCAGGGGCCTCCCCCTGGAGCTGAGGCAGAGAGGGACACCAGGACCAGCCCTTGACTCCTGGACCCTGGCTGCAAGCCTACCCTTGAGTCAGCCCAATGCCAGCTTCACCTGTGTGGTCAGCAATCCCATGGACCAGAAAACTGTCACCAGAGATGTTGGGGACATCTGTGCCCAAGGTGAGTGGGAAGGGGGACCTGGAGTTCAGGCAGCATGGGGGCCTGCGGGTCTGGGCTTTTCTCTCTGCCATGTGTATTCGCATCATTGTCCACCTAGTCACCTACTCAGAAGTCTGGGAGTCCCAGTAACCTCACTTCTGCCTTTGATCATGTCTCCCATCCATGCCCTCCTCTGCCAACCCCCCCCCCATGTCCCTCCTGGTCCAGGCTGCAGCCTTCCTATGGCTCTCCCACCCCATCTTTATTCCACTGGGCATCCAGAGTGAGCTTTTGCAAAAGCAGATTGGATTGTGTCACTGTCTGTGTCATCTTTGGGAACCTGATGACAGCCCCCCCAGTAGGATTTGGACCTTAGATATTCCTCCATCCACATTGCTGGTCTCACATACCTGCTTCACATCAAAGCACTGGCTGTAGTTCCCTGAATGTGTCCTGCCAGTGTAAGATTCTCAGCTTCTGGACATGCTGTGTCCTCTCCCATGAGGCTTCAGAGTCCTATGTGCTTCCCTTCCTGTCTTACTGCTACTGAAGGATTCCCCTGAGGCAGGCAGGCTTCGTGGGGTGAAGACTGGGTAGTGGCGCAGGGCCCCACACTTAGGGTCTTGGTTTAAAATTCTGCTGTTATTCAGTTTGAACAAGGGCTCCCCATGTTCCTTTTGCACAGGGCCTGCAAGTGATGTAGCCTGTACTGCCCTCAGGCACCACCTCCTTAGGGAGCTGTCCGTGGCCTCCCCACACTGAGCAGTGATGATAGATTTGTGTCTTTGTCCCCTCTGTAGATTGGACAACCTTGAGGGCAAGGCCATGTCTTGTTATCCTTTGACTCTCTGTGCCAAGCCAGCTTCTGGCAAAGCTCGCTCACAACCAGTGTTCCCGGAATGAATGAATGACCGGGACCCTGTGTGCAGCCCCATCTTCTCTTCCTCCAGGACCTTTGGGAGGGTCTGGTGTGTCAGTGTCACTTAAACTGCCTGTGACCTTCTCTCCTGACCCCATCCTGAGCCTCAGCTAACACTTAGCATGGCCAAAAGGCCCTCTGGGCACAGACTCCTACCTCCTTCTGACCCTCCTCCCTGCCTGCCCCTGTCCTGCCACAGTGGGGGTGCTGGTGACTCCCAGGGCTGGCGTTTGACACAGCCATTCCCTGAACATGGTGCTCCTCATTCCTGCAGTGACCTCCTCTGAATATCTGGAAAGTCCTAATCCCCTCTCAAGACTCAGTCTACCCACACCTCCTCTGGGAGGCCCTCCCGAAGCCCTAGCACAGGTGTAAACCACTGTTGCAGCAGGGTTCTTTTATGTGCCCATTGATATTTTCTCAGTCTTGCCTCCTGGGTGACGAGCTGCTTATGGGAATGGACATTGTCTTGTTGATCTCAGTATCCCTGGCACAAGCAGCAGCTCAGTGTCTGGTTGAATGAGTGGACCTGCCATAGTCCGCCCTCTTCAGCCTCTTCATCAGACCACTTTGTGCCCCTACACGCATTTCCTCCCTCTGTACCCCTTTGAAATGGGTATCTCAAGTTCTCTCCTGCCTTAATTTTGTTCATTTTTTGTGTGAGGGAAACAGATTCATCTGGACAGGACGTGGCTAGATTGCTACCATTCATCGTAGTGGCTATTGTGGTGTTGATGTTGATCCTGGGAGTTATATCATACCTTTGGAAGACACGTGGGAAGCAGAAGAAGATGGAACCAGGAAGAGGCAGGTTGTACTTCTCCTTCCAGGCCCAGATGCCTCCCCTCCTCCACTATAACTTGGTCCCCTTTCTCCTGAATGTGGCTGCCAGGGAGTCTCCTACAGATGGGATGTTGGGTGTGGCTATGGCTTTGGTGCTCATGGCAGTGGGAGGAATACAGGTCTCCCAGGCACAGATGTAAGGATTGTCTGTGTGTGGCTCAGGTTGCCAATTGCAGGAGGACCAGAATGTTGAGGATGTTGGCATCCACTATGGAGAACTGATACAGCAGGAGTCTCAGGTGGGTAAGAACAAGGTGAGGGCTGGGGCCACTGCCCATCAGGGCACTCCCAGGTCCCTCACTGCCCAGTCCTGGGCTTCCAAACCCAGGAATCTGCTCCTTTGGGCCCTGCTGCCTGTTCATGTATTTCTGGACAATCAACACCATTTACTAACAAAGATTTGTAATTGGTGTTAATGCAATGCTTTGCACTTTGGGGAATTTCATAAACAGAGCATGTCAGTGGGCACTGGTTCTATAGATAACTCTTGGGCCACTTTTTCCCTCAGCTGCTCCAGGACCCCTCTGTCTTGCATTCCAGGGCACTCAAGAAGTACATGGGAAAGAAAAGGTTCCTGTGACTACTGTCTACAGTGAGGTCCGTAACTCAGGCCGGGCCATGAATATCATTTAATGGGAGGAAGCAGGAGAATCGGCACCACCGGGACACGTCTGCTCTGAGCCTGAAGCCTGCAGACACCTGCCTCTGCCAGCTGCAGCTCAGCTCCAGCTGCCTCTGGCCTATGTTAGCCTGACTTTGCGACCATAATCTGTATGGGTATTCATGGCCTGGTTACGTTCTGTGACACCTCCCCAAGCTGTGCCGATACTCAGGATTCTCATCCCTGCTAGGTGAGGGTCCTTCCTCTGTCATTCACAAGAATTCTGACTCTTCTGCTAACCTTCCCAAGGGCTCCCTGTCTGATTGTGCAGGTAGCGAATGCCCACCACTTGTGCTGTGTGGCAAGTGTGTGTAATTCTGAGGATACAAGGCCAGGTGTGGGAGCTGTGTAGATGTGTTTGTTGAGTGTGCCACAGGGGAGGGAGTTAGGACCTGGGTACTGGGTGTTGAGAGAGGGTCAAAGGAGGCAGCAGCAAGGGTGGAAGCCTCCACAGGAAATGCCCTGAGGCTTCCTTTGCAGATCTCACTTAGACCTCCCTGTGTGTGTTGAGCTGTGCTGTGTGTTTGTGTGTGTGTGCATTGGGTTAGTGTCTAGGGCACATTATAGAAGTCAACCAAAGCTGCCTTCCTTTTCACCTGTGCTAAGCTGGACCTACGCCTCAGCATTAGCTTATGGACCCCAAGTTATCTTCCTGTGGATTGGAAAGAGGAATTTGCATTATCTGAAGCCTTACCAGCCTGTGCTTTCATTAGCAACATTCCTCCCAAATACTTTGTTTATATTTCAAGCTGTCTGTGCTGCATTGGTTCCATGATGGGACTTATATTTGAAAATAACAGAAAATTTTGACTTTTTTTGTGGTTTCAAAAAATTGCTTTAAAAATTTGAAAGATAATAACCAGCTAGACCATGTGTTTGAAAAACAAGTATGTACCCTCATGGTAAAAACAAAAGAAATATTGTCAAAGTGAAATGCCAGAGATATCAACTTTCAAACTTAGTACTTAAGGAAATGAAACGTTTCATACTTAATAACCCAATACTAGCATACTGAATTCAATAGCACATTGAGAGAAACCTTCCCCCAGATCAGGTATAATTTATTCCTCAGCTAGAAGGATGATTCAACATATGGAAATGAATAAATGTGATATAACACATTCATACAGTGAAGGATAAAAATCAATTATATGATCCATACTGGTAGTTATGGTGGCTGAGAAAGGCATCCATGCTCATGTCCTCCACAAAGAAGGACCAAAACAGAGAGTAGATAACCACATGTTGAATGGAGTATGTTAAGAGGGAACACTGAGATTCAGCAGGGCAGTGACACAAAATCACTTCCTCAGAGGCATGGAAAGATAGGGCCATGGAGCAGCCGGGCTGGCCAGCATCAGCTTGGAGCAGAGAGGAACTCCCCATTTCACAGAAGAGGTGAGTGAGAGATCTCCCGTGGTCCACATTTGCACAGTGAACCCCTGTAATCTTAGCTATGGGAAAACTCCTGGGCCCATGTGAATCCTGACATTAGTCCAGGGAGCTGTGTGGACTCTGTGTGATGGCATGTTCCAGAGAGGGAGTTTGCGCTGGGTCCCACACAAACCCCTGAAACCCAAGCAGCAGCCTCGCAGTACAATTTTGAGAGCCAAATCCCCAGCAGACTACATCCTACTCTAGGGTCCAAAAGCCACTTTATCCCCATATCTGGAGTCCACTGACATCCTCTCACATCTACCTAGGAGGCTGCAGGAGATCTAAATAGACATTTCTCAAAAGAAGACATACAAATAGCCAATAAAATGGCCAATAAATATATCAAAAATTGCTCAACATCACTAGTGATTTGGGAAATGCAAATCCAAACCACAATGAGGTATCATCCCACACCAGTTAGAATTGCTATTATCAGAAAGACAAAAAACAACAAATGCTGAAGAAGATGGGGAGAAAAGGGAACTGTTATATGTTGTTGTGGGAATGTAAACGAGTAAAGCCAATTTGGAGAACAGTATGGAGATTTCTATTAAACTAAGAATAGAATTATCACATGACCCAGTTACCCACTACTGGGTATTTATCCAATGAAAGGAAATCAGTCAAAGAGATGTTTGTGCTCCAATGTTTATGGAAGCAGCTTCCTTTAAGTAGGGAAGATATGGAATTACGTAAGTGTTCATCAACAGATGAATGGATTAAGAAAATGTAGTATATACATGATGGAATACTATTCAGTGATCAAAAGAATGAAATACTGTCATTTGCAGCAACATGACTGGAACTGGAGTCATTATGTGATGTCAACTATATGAAGTACAGAAAGACAATTACCAAGTGTAGTCACTCATATGTGGGAGCAACAAAGGTATGGTTGACCTCATGGAGATAGAGAGTAGAGTGATGGTTACCAGAGGCTGGGTGTAGGAGGACATCAGGAGAGGTTGGTTAACGGTACAAACATAAGGTTAGATAGAAGGAATGATTTTTAATGTCTTTTTTTTTTTTGAGACAGTCTCACTCTGTTGCCTGTGCTAGAGTGCTGTGGCATCAGCCTAGCTCACAGCAACCTCAAACTCGTGGGCTCAAGCAATCCTGCTGCCGCAGCCTCCCCAGTAACTGGGAATACAGGCATGGGCCACTGCACCGGGCTAATTTTTTCTATTTTTAGTTGTTTGGCAAATTTCTTTCTATTTATAGTAGAGATGGGGTCTCACTCTTGCTCAGGCTGGTCTTGAACTCCTGAGCTCAAGCAATCCTCCCACCTCGGCTTCCCAAAGTGTTAGGATTACAGGCGTGAGCCACCACGCCCTACATAGTTCTAATGTTTGATGACACAGTAGGGTGGCTATAGTTAACAATAATTTATTGTATATTTCAAAATAGCTAGAAGACAATATTTGAAATGTTCCAAACACAAGGAAATGTTAAGTGTTTGAGGTGATGTATATCTTAATAATCTTGATTTGATTGTTACACATTGTATGCATGTATCAAAATATCACATGTACCACATAAATTTGTAAAATTATTATGTATCATTAAAAAGAAAATAAAACCCAAAGGTCATATGATCATCTCAGTAGATGCAGAATAAGCATTTGTCCACATATAACATTTTTTGATGATCAAAACTCTAAAGAGACCACAGTCGGGTTAAGCTTCAACATATGAATTTTGAGAAGTTGCAGAGCAGAACAGGTAAGAGCAAGGTGTCAACAGAGATCAGCCCTGGAGAGGCTTGGAGTCCAGTGAGAAGGGTAGGTCAAGTGGTTTGTTTTTCTCTCCCTCTCATCTCTGGCAGTTGGTAAGTTCTTGAGCTGTTGGAGAGACTTTCTGTGCAAAGGAGCCCAGAAGCTGTTGCCCTCAGTGAGATAAGAGCTTCTTGTGGACAGGGCACCAGGCTCCCATCCCCTCAGGGATATCTCCTATCCTCACAGACCTCCACTTAACATTTCTTTGTGTTTGGAACATTTCAAATATTGTCTTCTAGCTATTTTGAAATATACAATAAATTATTGTTAACTATAGCCACCCTACTGTGTTATCAAACATTAGAACTATGTGGGGTGCAGTGGCTCACGCCTGTAATCCTAGCACTTTGGGAAGCCGAGGTGGGAGGATTGCTTGAGCTCAGGAGTTCAAGACCTGAGCTGGGATGGTTGGCATCATATTGTTTCACTACTCACCATGTGCCTTTTTTTTCCCCATGGGACTTCAACTCTTCAGGTTCTGTTTTGCTCATTCCCACAGAGACATTTCCCAGCCCGAGCCCAGACTTCATGAGCCACAGGGGTCCAGTGGGGCCTGGTAATCTGCATGACTCCAGTGCCTGAACATTCCTGGCAGGCAGCCTTTTGGAGAAAGGGGCAGACACGATCAGAGTGCTAGCTTTCCTCCATCCAGATTCCTTTTGTCCCATTCTGTTCCCCCACCTACACTTGTTAAGAGAATTGAGCCACCACACTGAGGATTTCACAGACAGTAGGGCTCAGACCTTTCCTCTTGGGGTCTTGCAGCAGACAGATGGATGCTTAGACTGTGAGCTCCCTACCTGCTGGCCCTCCCTTGTGTTGCTTTCCCAGAGACTCCATCAGAGCAGGGCATGCCTCAAGGCAGAGTCACAACAAACTTGCTTGTGAACCTTGTGGTCTACTCAGAACCACTGTGATTCTCACTGGCATGGTCATGGATTGATTTGATTATTTAGGTGATGTATATTCCAAATCAAGCTTATTAGGATATACATCACCTCAAACACTTAATCTAGTTACCATACCCCCAGGTCTTCATCACGTTGCTCCAGAGCACAAAGGGGAGATTTGTGAATTATCTCAGGAATTAAGGGTGCCTGCATGGGCAGATTTTGGGGGAGAATATAGTGTGAGTCCTAGCTGTAGTGTGCTTGCAGGGCATCCATCACCCCACAGGAGGGCCATGCTACAGCTCAGGCTGGGATCCAGGGCAGGGAACCTCCTGACATGCATTTTAGTCCTGGGGAGCCTCTGCTGGCTTGAGCTCCTGCCTGCTGGCAGATGCTGGGGGGAAACTGTGAAACAGGAGGGTGGAGAGGAGCGAAGCTTGCAACAGACTGTCATATTGTGAATCTCACATGCCTCTACCTCCACAAGCAGACTTTCTGCCTGGGTAGGGCCACATGAGCCCCTCCCTGGCAGCTTTGCCCAGAAGCTGGGAGCAGACTGTTAAACCCTGCTGAAACAGATATCTTGCCAGCTTTTTTGTGGAGCCTAAAGGCAAGTTTACACGGCCCAGCTCTTCCCAGCTGCACTCCCCACCTGCCTCTGCTATGGCAGTGAATAAGGACTCACCTGAAGTTGTAGGACCCCACCTACAACCTGGGCATTTGACTGCTTCTACTGAGGGACTAGAGCCAGTCACAGGATCCAAAAGTTTGGTGGCTTGTTCCTTTTGGCAAGTGCTACTTTCTGACAGGGAGGTCAATTTGCACAACCCTTTACATTATTTACTGAGTCAGTCATACAAGGTTGATTCTCATCCACAAGCACCACCTGCTGTCTCAGAGATTAAACTGGGCATGCCGTTATCTAAACAAAAGAAATCACAAAAATAAGAGGAAACAGCTGCTCCAGATAATAAGGAACTAGTGAAAGAACCGCAGAAGCATGAAGAATAACAATGAATGAACACCATCAAAAGTGAACACTAGCTCTCTAGCAATGGATACCAATGATAATCAGAATATTGAAATAACAGATAAAGAATTAAAAATATGGATTATAAGTAAACACAACAAAATACAAGAGAAAATGGAAAAACAACACAAACCATAAAAAAGAATTAAGGAAATGAATGAAAATCCACTAAAAAAATTAAATTATTAAAAAAAATCAAATCCACACCATGTGGGGGATAGACATGCTTGAAGCTTTGACTTGGGTGGGGTTGGACAATATACATAACCTAAATATTTGTACTCCTGTGATATGTTGTAATAAAAAAATTAAAAAAAAATGAATTAACCCTAGAACTAGAGAGCAGGTATATTAGAGATGACTAATTATACAATTTTTTTTTTGTCAAGGAAAATTTAAGTAATAATCTTGTGGTTTACATAATATAATTTAATACAGAAATAATGTGAGTTTTACATTACTTGTCATTAATAAAGCATTTTAATTAAATTAAGAAAAAAATCAAGTAGAACTTCTGGAAATGAAAAATTTATTTAAGAAAATAAAAAAGCATGGTGGAAAGTCTTAAGAATATACTATACCAGGCAGATGAAACAATGTCAGAGCTTGAAGACAACATCTTTGAATTAAGTCAGTCAACAATAAAGAATAGAGAATTAAGAGGAATGAACTAAGCCTAAAAGAAATAGGGAATCATGTAAACCAGCCAAACTTAGGAATTATAGGCATCCCTGAGTGTGAAGAAGAAAACACACAAGGGTTGGAAAACCTATTTGAAGGAATAATTGAGGAAAAGTTCCCTGGTCCTGTTAGATTTTTAGATATCCAGGTACAAGAAGCTCAGTGAGCTGGGAGATTCATTGGAAAGAGGCAATCACCACAACACACAGTTATCAGACTGGCAAAAGTTAACACAAAGGAGGAAATTCTGTGAGCAATAAGGCAAAAACATCAGATAACCCACAAAGGAAAACCCATCAGGCTAACTGCAGACTTCTCAGCTGACGCCTTCAAGCCAGAGAGTACTGGGGCCTCATTCTCAGTCTTCTAAAGCATAATAACAGGCAGCCTAGAATTTTGTATCCTGAAAAATTAAGTTTCTTATATGAGGCAGAAATGATAACTTTATTAGGCAAGCAAAGCCTGGGAGCATTTGTCAAGACCAGACCTGCTCTGCAGGAAGTACCCAGATCTGAATTATACATGCGTCAGCACAAGATAAATTCACCAGTGGAAAATCACCCAAAATCTAAAGCTGAGAGCCCATATAAAATAATGGCTCAAGAGGTAAAACAAAGCTATAAGGGTCTACCCAACAGGATGAACAAAAATGCACCCCACTTATCAATTCTTTCAATATATGTGAATGGCTTGAATTCCTCACTTAAGACACATACGCTTGCTAAATGGATAAAAATAAATAGAAGCAAAGTATCTTTTGTCTGCAGAAAACCCACAAGAACTCATTGAGACTCAGGTGAGGGGATGGAAAAAATATGCTATGCAAATGGACATGAAAATAAAGCAGGTGCAGCCATTCTCACTTCAGATAACATGAAATTTAAATTCATAATAGTAAAGAAAGCCAAAGATGGTCATTATATAATTGTAAATAGAGCAATTCATGAAGAAATATTAACAATCCTAAACATTTATGCACCTAACACAGTTGCACCTGGATTCATAAAGCAAACCATACCAGATCTAAAGAAAGCGACACACAGAAACATCATAACTGCCAGAGACTTCAATGTCCCATTGACAGAACTGGACAGATCCTCAAAGCAGAAAAGAAATCAAGAAACACTGGATTTAAATGGGACTGTAGAGCAAATGAGCCTAACAGACACTTACAGAACATTCCACCCCCAAACTACTGAATATACATTCTTCTTATCAGCACATAGAACATTAAGATTGATCACATCTTAGGCCACAAAACATGTCTCAAGAAATTCAAAAAAATAGAAATTATACCATGTCTCTCCTCAGATCATACAGGAAGAAAATTAGAAATGTACTTCTACAGAAACAATCAATTCTACCAAAAGTTATGGAAACTAAATAGCCTACTGCTGAATGATTGTTTGGTCAAGGAGGAAATTAAGGTGGAAATCAAAAGATTCCTTGAACTAAATGACAAAGGGGACACAAGT